CAAACAATGGAAAACTATGACCGAGAAGCAGATTGGTAAATAGATCAAGTGCTTGAGAACTAACAAACAACATGAAATTTTGTAGAGGTCCTTTCAATTAGTTTTACATGAAAGAAAGAATTGTGAGACATTGCACATTGAGTAAAACACCATAGCTGAACCAGATTACAAAACAAATTAACAGAACTTTCTTGGAGAGGGCACAAGGTATGCTTCCAAATGTTGGGCTATACAAGAAGTTTTGGGTTTAAACTGTCAATACAACTTGTTATCTTGTTAATAGATCTCCATTGAGTGTAAGATTCCTGCTTCAACTTTAATATTGTAAACCCAAGCGCAAGTTGAGTGAAGTAATATATTTTTCGGAAGACCGAGGTCGAACCCTTAGGAAATTGTAAAATAGCAGCAATCACACAAATACTATAACAACCTTGTAAGAACAATTTATTTAAGAGATTGTTGAGTTGAAAATATTGGTTGAAGTAATTAAAATAATATAATAAAAATACTAGAACATCAGGTACTCCCTCTCAATTCCATACAATAATGATTAAAGACTTAATTCTTAACCTTAGACAAGAATCAAATGTCGATTGATTCAAGTCACAACATTAAGCAATAAAACCATAATTTATAATCAAAGAATTATTTAGGAACCTGAATAATCATTCAATTATATTATTATGTGAAATAATGATAATCAACTTAAGCGTGAAATAACCAGTTATTTACTTGTAGAGAAATTCAAGCAATCAATGTACATGACATAATGACTCAAGGATTTTTACAGAGCAAAAACTTTGCTAAGAAACCAAAAGTTGAATTAAAAAATATCACATATCATTAAGCTCAAAAGTCAATAATATTACTGTACTTCATTGAGAGGTCCTCCCCTAGCTTTAGCTAAACCTTTTAGCCAGACAAGACGAACTAAAATCAAAATAAAAAGATAGGAAAAGAAATAATAATAATCTCTAAATGAGAACCCTTATTTATACTAAAATAAATCCTAAGTATAGATAGAAGATATAAGATTGGTTTGGAAGGAATTCCTTCCAAAAAGAAATCTTGTAAGGTTAAATTCCGTGCATAAAATATTTGGGGTGCAGGTACAAAATCTGTTCAGACTTTAAGCTTGAATTTCGCATATTTAGAGGTTCAATCACAAAAATTTCGCAAAATACACTTTTGTAGCCCTTGAAGTCTTATTTTCAACTCCGTAAAAATCAAGTCAATCAGATATCAGAATCAAAAGTTGTGACAAATATACTGAAGACGTATTAAATCCTTATCTTCTAGGACACTTTTCTAATCCAACTCCAAATGAGTTTTCTTCAAACTTGGACTCTTATAAGGATTAAATTGCTGTCATATCTTCAAGTCTTCCTATTTTAATCTTGACTCTTCAATCTTTATCAATTGCAATTCTTTTTCTAGTGATTGCTTCACTTGCCTTATCCATTATTACTTTAAATCAACCAATTTATCTGCAAAATAAACCAAACAACTAGAAAAAGTATCAAACTAGAAAATTAAGGAATTTAACACATTTAATCACAAATAATATGCAATTAACCAATTATTAAATATAATAAAATAACAATTTTGATTGTTAATTAATTCCTAAATAGGTTTGGTCTGGGTCTCCTATAAATTATACTAGTTTAAGAGTATTTAGTTGTCCCACTTATGCTCATGAGTGATGGTAACTTGAGCCAAGGACAAGAAAAATGCATATTTTAAGGGTATACAAATGGGGTGAAAGGTTGCTGATTATGGTGTGATGAGCTAAACCAACCAAATGTATCATCAATAGAGACGTGATCTTTAATGAGCCTGTTTTGCTTAAGTCCAAGGAGGATGAGTCTCTTGATGCTAAAGCAGACCATGGTGGAGCTTGAAGTGGAAGCTTCTAAGAAACTTGGAATATGTTTTGCAAGATGATAACCCAATCAAGCCAGATACAAAAGAGCAACAAAACTCTAGTGCAGCTCCGCAGTGTCAAGGATACATGCTTGCTAGGGACAAAAAAAAGAGGCAGACTAAGATGCCTAAAAGATATGATTATGAGGATCTTGTTGTCTATGCACTTAGTGCAGCAAAAAGTGTTGAGGATCATGAGCTAGTCTCTTATCATAAAGTCATCGCTAATGCAATTTAACATAATGGGCCATAACCATGAGTGAAGAGGTTGAATCTCTCCATAAGAATCATACATGGAAGTTGGTGAAACCATCAAAAGGCCAAAAGATCGTTGGTTACACGGGTTTTCAAAAGGAAAGAAAGAACTTGGAAAATGCTAGTTTCAAAGATTGCTTGGTGGCCAAGGGGGTACATAAAGGGTGTTGACTTTAATGAAGTGTTTTCTCATCTCTTGAAACATAGCTTGATCATAGGGCTATTGGCCATGGTTGCTTTATCAAACTTGGAGCTTGAGCAATTTGATGTTAAGACAACGTTTCTACATGGCGGGTTGGAGGAACAGATTTACATGCACCAACTAGAGGGGTTCGTAGTCGAAGGAAAGGAGGACCTTATTTGTTTGTTAAAGAAATCTTTTTATGATCTGAAGCAATCACCAAGACAGTGGTAGAAATGGTTTGACACATTTATGATTACAAATGGTTGTCGCAGAAGTGAGTACGATAATTGTGTCCACTATAAGAAGCTCCCAGATAGTTCATTTGTATATTTGTCATTGAATGGCGATGCCATGTTGATAGCTGCAAAGAACATGTCAGACATCAGAAAATTGAAGACTCAACTTAGTGGTGAGTTTGAGATGAAGGATTTAGGAGCTGTAGAGAAAATATTAGGGATGGAGACTTGCAGGGACTGAGAAACTGACAAATTGTACCTATCACAAAAAAAGGTATATTGAGAAGTGCTAGAATGCTTTGGAGTTCAAGGGTCGAAGCCTATGAGTACTCCACTTGTTGCTCATTTCAAACTCTCAGCTGCTTTGTCACTACAAACAAAGGAGGAGGTGGAGTAGAGCACATGCCATGCTTTCCTTATGCTAGTGCAGTTGAAAGCATCATGTATGCTATGGTTTGTTCTAGGCAAGATATTTCACATGTTGTAAGTGTGGTTAGTTAATACATGGATCGACCAAGAAAGGTCCATTGGCAGGTTGTGAAATGGATATTTCGACATCTACGAGGTACCGTAGATGTTGGGCTGATGTATGACAAAGACAATGACATTTCTGGTAGTGTTATTAGATATGTCGATTCAACTTATGATGGGGATCTTGATCAAAGGAGATCACTAAAAGGTTATATATTTACTTTTTGTGGTTGTGCTGTCACTTGGAAGGCAACATTGCAGTCCATAATTGTCTTGTCTACAACTGAGGCTAAGTACATGACAGATATAAAGGTAGTGAAGGAAGTCCTATGGTTGAAAGGTTTGGTTGGTGGTCTTGGTCTAGAACAAAAGTTAACTACTGTGTACTGTGACAGCCAGAGTGTCATATATCTGACTAAGAATCAAATGTTCCCTGAAAGGACCAAACATATTAATGTCAAGATTCATTTCATTTGAGATGTTATTTCTAAGGGTGCTATTGCAATGAAGAAAAGTACCATTGTAGAGAATCCAGTAGATATGATGACGAAGTGCATTACAACGGTTAAGTTCAAGCATTTCTTGGAGTTGATCCATCTTTCACATTGAAGATTGATGAATCATCCCAAGGCGTAGGGATGAGCATCCCCTTATTTCTCACAAAGGTGGAGATTTGTTAGCTTGGATTTGGTGGCTTTAAACCAATGCACCGAAAGCGCACCTTATTTTGGAGGCTCAAATAGTTCGCTGAAAGTGCACTGGAATTTGAGGAATTCTGATTTTGGGTACTGTGCATCTTCATATGAATAGGCTATGTACGTACAGAGTTTCTTGTTTTAGCTTCAGAGCTTGTTTGATAGCGTGAGTTGAGAGGAGGGTACAAAGGTTTAAAGGCTTGAGTTTTGGGATACAAATATAAATGGTTAGCTTTTATTGATATACTTAATTTCTCTCATAGTAGATTATATCACGCCTCGTAAAAGTCGGCAAGGTTTATTTTGCCAAACCATGTAAATCCCCTTTGTCTTTTTGGGTGAGTGCCTTATTTTATTGTCTATCACGGTACTCAAATTTTGGGTTCGTCACAACCCTTGTGATGTGTTTATCATCCCATTTTGCATTGTGGACCTCTCGCTGAATTTATCAAGAATCCGGGAGACTGGGATAATATGACTGTTTCAAGGAGTAGCTTTTCCAATTGAAACTAATTCATAATTTGCGAGTGAAGTTTGGAATATTTCTAATCGAATTCCACTCTAGATTTGGCAATTACTAGTTTCAAGAATTTGGATGGAGTGCAATTCATACATGAACAGAGATATATGTAGAAAAGTTGGAGGTGCAACATCAGCATTGATCGTGGCATCACAGAATAGATTGAGTGAGAAGCACAAAATGCGACATAGAAGAAGTAATTGGATGTGACGAGTGGTTCAAAGCATATTGTGGAGACAGCGCCATCCAATTCCATGACGAGTGGCCGAATGACGATGGCTCTGAGCATGGTCACCCTGGCGAATACCTCTTGGGCGTTGAAAAGCTGCCAGGGGACTGCTCCTAATGACGATGGTTAACCTTGGATGCCTTGAGGAGCGTATACACCTGCTTCAAAAAAAAAAAACAAATTCTCACGGTGTTTCTTGAGTAGGAGCTGTTTGAGTTTCATCATTGAAAGCCTTATCAAGAAACACTAAGATTAAATTTAAGCTTGATCAGATACTAAATTGGATAAAATATAACAAAGGCAAGGTATACATGACATACAAGTTTTCCCATTCGGACAAATCATTTATTAATCAAACAAAATACACCTTGTGGAAGCAAAAACAGTAAATATGGATTGGAGAATACATCAACAGTGGAAAACGGAAAAAGGGAAATCCTGATGGGAACAGGATTCAGAAAATTACTAGAGCAAGCCAATTTCCATTTCAGGGCTTGGTAATTCCTGCCTTGAGCTTCTTAATGGTATCAACGTCAGTCTTAAAAGATTTAGCAAGTATGATATCATCAATTCCAGTGGCAAAAGCTGACACAGGAGCCGAAACAGTTCCAGCACTTGCACTTCCGAATGCAGAAATTGCGATTGCTGGCCGTTTATGGTTGTGGTTGAATTGGAAGTGAACAAGTCCCTTTGGAAACACAAACATGTCCCCAACTTTGAGTTTTTGGGTATACAAAACATTTTTGGTGTCGACAAACCCGACTTCGAGAACTCCATCGACGAGGAATAGCAGCTCCGCGGCGCGAGGGTGGGTGTGAGGCGGATTAACACCACGTGCTGGGAATTGAAGCACAGCATAGGATACACTTTCCCCATTAAGAGCCGGGAACTCGGCCATGCTAGCTTTTGTCACCTTAAAGGTTGGGGGGGTGGAGTCGAAAATCCCACGCAGCCCGGTGTAAGTGAAGAATTTCCCATCTACGAAGGTACAATTTGCTGGGACAATGAAGTCTGAAATGATGTCGGGATCACCTGCTACCGCAGTCCGGGGCGTGGCCGCCATAGCCAAGGCTAGGAAGAGGAGGAGAATGGATGTAGTAGAGTTCAAGGCCATGGTTGATAAGCTGGGAGATGAAGAGCTCTGATGAACTGATAACTAAAAGTGTTGCTTCTTTTCTCTATAGTACTATGGTTTGTGGGGATAAGATTGCCCAGCCATGCATTTATAGAGTTTTTTTATGGTTCAATCTTTTTCGTCTTGCTGATATTGTAATTCCCGGTGTTTGGTTTTTGTTATCTTCTCCTTGGCTTGAACTAAAGTGTCCACAAGCAAATATGTAGGAGCTGTGAACAGCGAAGGACACAACAATGCTGAGAGTTCCTGTGAAGTGTGAAATTTCTCTCTCCCCCTCTCTCACTCTCTCATACATATGTACGTTACAATAAGAGTAATGCTATTGACACTTAAAAAATTGACCTAATTTATTGACATAATAATGTGTCTAATGACGGAGTCTTAGCGAAGAAATCTAAGATTCATAATTACAAAAATAATATTGAACCATATTACTGCACATCACTAAATCAACAAATTAAATTAATTTTTTAGCTTCTAATAGTATTACTCTTACATATGTTTTAGAAAGTGGCTATTTCTCAATCTTTTTGTATACTTCCTAATGAAATATGAGACCATTTTACAACTGGCTCAGTTTAGTGTCAAAGGGTTGAAGTTCAAAAATCCGCCTATTTAAAATAAACGTAAGGTTGATTACTAACAGATAGGAATCTTATATATCATATACGACATTTAACTAAATTTAAAAAAAATGTGTTGTTGGGTGCTAAAAATAATGCAACAGTAACCAAGGATGCAACGAGGTATAAATAAATTACATTTTTTCGTGTATCAAATACATACGACACTTTGAATTCGAAGAAATAAAAGAAACTAAGAAATATGGTATTATTGATTAAATGAATAAAACTTGTAATATACATGGTGACAATTTATAGGAATGTCTAACACAAGGTTTTCAAAACGGACATAAATCCAAAGTCTATGTTTATTAAAAAAAAATATAAGACCAAACTGAAATGATCAATTAATATACACATTTGATTTAACAAAATTAAAGATATTATGATTGTACTCTATTTTTTTCAAATTGCAATACTATTGAACCTAAAAATTTGATCGATTAGATCATATTTTCATAATTATCATTGTTCGACTTTTTAATTCGAATAATAATACATGCTACATCATTAGGTCAAATGATTATATCATTTTTTTAAGTACCAATATGTTTTTTGTGGTATAAACCAATAAAATTACAAGTAATCACCAATTTATTACTTTCTCTTTCTGTTTTAAGTACTCAAATAATAAATTTTTTTAATTGAGGTGCTAAAGTAGATATTAAAGTTGCCTTCTTTTTAAGTTAATGTTTGGTTGCAATATATTAGTCAAATAACAATTACTTCTGCAAAAAGAAGTTTTCAAAGATTAAAATTGATAAAATCTTGCCTCAAATTTAGAGTTATAAATTAGATTGAGTAAATTAATCATACTATTAACTAAAAATAATATGTTACCATTAATTTAATACAAATATTTGATTAGTAATTTTGTACTAAAAAAAATGAAAAAACTTCACTTAAAAAAAATATAGTGTTAATTACAAAATACTCTCTTTAACTTTGGATAGTTTGTCATTCATCCGTTCAGGTTTTAATTTAAATAAATAGCCCCAATTTAAGATTAAATATTTGTAATTAATTCCAACAGTTAATTTTAGACCATAAAAAATGGTATAAGTTAGATAAAAGAAATTGACATGATTTTTTTCTTGTTAAAAACACAATTATCCCCAAAAAAGTGTGTGTGTGTGCGCGCGCGCGCTTGCGTTGGTGTTAGGTAGAGGTGAAGGCGAATATATTGTGTTGGTGTTGGGTTGCACATATGTATTTTTTTTTAATTTTTTCGTTTTCTTATTTTCTATGGATCAAATTGGTATTTCAAGAAAAAAATATGAGAAATAATGTACAAGATGAAGGATATAATGGTACTTGCATGTTACAATCATTGTTGTCGGTCAATTTAGTCCGCTTGAAACTTGGAAGGGACAAGTTATAGCATTTGAAACTATAGGGAGCGGATTGCAATAAGAAACATAGTTGGAGAGAAAAAAATTATAATTAACCCAAAAAATATAAAATACCTCAATGAAATCTGTCATTTTACCCCTCAAATCATCTCGAGCCAGCCCTTATTATAGTTCTATCCAAACAATATAAATAAATAAATTTCTAAAGCCTTTCATCATTAAAAGATGTTATTATGACGACGGGAGTTGCTAGATCACAATTTTAGACATACTAAAAAAGTAAAAGAAACAAGAGTCTGGTTAAGGTCGGTGAACATGTGAATTGGATATTCTTAATATAAGTAAATAATTCTGAGAAACTACTAAAAAGAGCTTCCAATTAAACAACAAATTTACGTCATAGACAAGAAAAAAAAATATTTGGAATATTCTGGCATTTTGAATCTTTTGGACTGTTGTCTCTGTCAAAAAAAAAACAATCTGTTAATATAATTCCAAGAACAATGGGGTGCAAAAGGCCTCTCAATCTGTATAAATATAAAAGTAGGACGAACTATAGACTAGTGTGATCTAAAAAAATATACAAGACCTTTCAATCTGTATAAATATAAAAATAAAAGACTCAAACTAAAACTAGAAGAATGAAAAAAATATGGGACCCCTCTTGAAACGGGGCCCTAAGCAATGCCCTACTTGTCCAATGTGTTCAGCCGGCCCCTACTTGTCATTATCCACCAAAGAGACTGCAAGCAAAACTATCCAAAAGAAGGATGAATATACACAAACACAAAAGCTTGTTGCTGACCAAAATATGACAACCAAAATAAAATATTCTCCATATATAACAATGCTCGACAACATCAAGAAACAGAATCTGCAACAATGGCGTTGTAGTATTCAATTGATTTTGTTGCCTCAACGCCTGCTTCTGAGTACAATACAATACAATGTTTTGCTTCTGTACTACAATCCCACTCTATAAATGGTTATCTTCCTGCTCAATGCCCACTAGAGATTACACACACCATTATATCCTTTACCATCCATCTTCTACCCTATTTTGAGCAATCTTTCTTCCCTCAAGTTTTACAATGGCCATCGTAGCACCAAAGCATAAGTTCCTATTTGCACTTACCCTTGTGTTTGCTATCGGCTTGCACATGGCAGTGGCCGGGGATGCAGACATCCTTTCTGATTTCACAGTCCCTCCAAACACCACAGCGGACGCCAAATTCTTTACCTTCACTGGCATGCGAGTGCTGGTGGGAGCACCGCCCCCACCATCTTTTAAGGTTCTGAAAGCAAGCATGGCTGAATTCCCAGCTCTTAACGGACAGAGTGTTTCTTATGCGGTCCTTGAGTACCCTGCTGGCTCCGTCAACCCGCTTCACACCCATCCTCGAGCATCCGAGCTCTTATTCCTCATTGACGGCTCCCTCGATGTCGGCTTTGTCGACACCACTAACAAGATCTTTACTCAGACCCTCCAAGCAGGCGACTTGTTTATGTTTCCGAAGGGACTTGTTCACTATCAGTACAACCAAGATGCACAGAAACCAGCCTTTGCAATCTCGGCATTTGGCAGCGCAAGCGCTGGAACTGTGTCAATTCCTACTACTGTCTTCAATACCAGCATATATGATGGAATCTTGGCAAAGTCTTTCAAAACGGACGTTGTCACCATTCGGAAACTCGAGGCTGGGCTTGCACACTAGGCCTGAGTTGGAAAGGCTTGCAAACCAATAAAGCATTATAAATTTGCTATTTTGATCTCTATGTTTTCTTTGCCGTGAATAAAATCAGCATTCATCCCCTAGGTTCCAACTTCGACTGACACAAAAGATACCTGTTAATTTGGTGCGCATTGTTTATGAATGATCGTGTGCATATCAAGTTTAGATAGCAATCAAGATTCCAAAGAACGTGATTGTAATGATTCAATGTTATAAATAATAAGCAGATTGACTTTCATGTTCAATCCTAAATTTTGTGCTCAAATGTTCTATTCGTAATTGATTTCTTATGCTATTCTCTGCTATTGGCTTGAGAAATTTTGGTTTGATATTGTTATGTTTATACGGATCGATTAAACTAGTTAGTATTATAACCAATTCTACTCGATTATATGAATAAATATTTGTTACAATGGTCATACTTAATCGACATGAAGTATCAACGTTTAATATTAATAATCACAGGGACAACTCAACGATTATGTGATATGATCATTGCAATGAGCATGTATTCGTACCCTTGACGTCCTATTGAAACAGTGTTTTGCAATAAAGAAGATAAGTCCACTCTCCAGACTGAAATTGATATAGCAAATGAGCCAGCAAACATGCTGCAGAAAACTGGAGTAATATCTGCCAATAAATATCTGAAAATAGATTGCCCTCAAATACCAAGACAAACACACTAATGTAATTGGACTCTAATCGTCTAATTTCCTTGTGTATGGGACAACGAAAAACAAGTAGATATTGCAGACATGCAATGCTTATCCTTGATAGCAAAACTCTGAACATTGCAAGAAATGCAGCCACCTCGTGAAAATAGGATCCATCCTTTCTCAAATAGCGACAATGTCAAATATCATTCTAGCACGTAACGTTACTCTGTCTAGGGGTGCTCACCCTACTCTACAGGTAGGAAATAAAGTCTTTCGTCTTCTTACCCGATACTTTACAAAAATTTTTTTTTTTGGCCTACCCTATCCGATCAGGTGTGGTATTCCTACCTGACTTCCTACCCGATTAATCGGGTAGGAAATCGAGTAAACACTTTTGTAACTATCAATTTTTGAATCATTTTAACAATTCAAATAAATAACATGTACCAATTTAACAACACAATAAATCAATAACACTAAAATCTAAAACAACTACAACAACAATTATAATACAATACAAGAAAATATGAACATCAACCTATCATAATTGTTACACAAATACAATAACAATTATTTTAAGTTTAAATCATTTGAAACATATGAAAATCACAACTGCTCCAATAGATTACCAGTTCACTACAAATCATGTAACCTACACAAAAAATAAGTCCATATTTTAACAACTCTAACATTCATAATAATAACAATGTTGTAATATAAATTATACCACACAAATACTCTTATAATTACTAAAAATAATATAAAAAAGTTAAATATATTTTTTACTAGTAGGGTATGGTAGGATTGCAAAAATTGATAGATACTCTGCATTCCTACCCGATTTAATCGAAGACCAAAAATTCTTTCGCATTTCTATCCGATTTTTACTGCTAGCTATTTAGTAAGGTAAGGTAGGGTAAGATCGGGTAGGATAAGAAATTACGATCAATCGAAAATTTAAATACCCCTAACTCTGTCAGCGTGGACTCATTAAAATGTTCACTGTATGTTGGAAAGAAAGCGAAATGCAAGAGGAGCTTCAATTTATAGCTAAGACTAACAAAACCTTTAATCTAATGCTAGGCTCCAAAACGATGGGAGGAATAGACAACATTTTTGAACTGCCAATGGCAGGTAGGTCTGCGGTAGCTCAGTCACTGTTATCTATATACAAGACACAAGAAAGAAATATGCAACCTTTTTCATTATTTAGGTATATATATATACTTCTTGTGAGCCTGACTACCGTGAATGGCACCTTCAACAGAGGATTAATGTGAAACGATGTGAATGTGAAGTAGGGATTAAATTCTTTACAGACAAACTTGTAAACAATTATTTATAAATAGTCAATCAAAATTAAAGAGTTACACAAACACATAAATCAATATTGAGGATTCTCAATTAAAAAATTTGTTTATAGACTGCCTATAATGAATCTATTATCCCTGAAGTAACATCAACCTTTCGTAAAAATTGAATACAGTTTATGCCAACAAATGGCAATCGCAAAGTCTCCGGATTCCAAGGCTGACGGGTGACTGAGGCCCGGGAGAAAGTGACTAACAAAATCCTTTTAGGGTTCTATATAAGGTAACTAGCATGTTCATAAAATTTATGTCACGAGTCCGATAGATTTCCAACACACCATAGACTTGAATTTGAACACTCACTATTCATCGCTTTTATCATGTGTGTAATCTTTCATCAATCATAAGCGAGAACCAAATACGACTAACATATATAACACTACCGCCTCTATAGATCAACAATGGCAAGTCAAAAGGACCATTCAACACAATATAGTTCTACTAATAATCAATCAATTTCATTTGCTGTTATGTTTACACCTAAAATATTCATGTGACATCTATGTCCTCCACATATATATTCCTTCAGTTCACAAAGGGACTCGAGAAAACCACATCCCATTCTCTCAAATTCATTTGCTAATCCCCTAATCAACTGCTGGCTAAGAAAGAATAGAATTTTAAAAATTGGATTTCTAATTGCATGTAATCGTTCTATGTACAGCGTATGCAGCTATTATCTTCCTCATCCTTGCGTAGGAAAGGTGGGGTTCTGATAACCCAAGGACCCTCCTTGTCCTTGATGGGGGAAATTGCTTGGAGGTACAGTAGTGATATCTGCAGTGGTGGTCATGTCATGGATGCTTGACCTCTTTCTCTCCTTATTCACCAAGTTCTTTCGAAGGTAGTATTTTTGGGCATGGCTAGCTACTTGGGTTGGTGTTCTTGTCACGACCACATTTCTTGAAATGCTCCTCCAGTCACCCTTCCCATATCGATCGAGCCCAATTAAAAATAACCTGTGACAAGACCATATTAGAGTCACCACCACCAGAACATCATAACCAAACAGTTTAGGGCGTTTTGCTACGTGTAGAACCAAAACGAGAATACATTTTCATGGAATATCTCAACACCCATTTCAATTTCCTCGTTTCCATTAAGCAAAAGGAAAAATGATAAATGTAGGAACAAATAAAACATTTTCTTTATGAGCAATGCTATTAAAACCTAATTTGTTGATCTAATTCATTATAATATTTGGATTGACTATATGTCTCATTAAACATTGAAACTTGGTGTCGAACCAATGGTTTCAATGAAGCCACATTATTAGATCAACTTTTTAAATCCAAATAACATTACTTTTCTTTATGCACTTTGGACCAATCTTGAACCTAACTAAGATATATCTATACTACCATAAAATGTCAACAAACGTGAAAAACTTTTGATTGACTATAATAGCCTTAGTAAAATAACTAATGTCAATACTATCCTTCTTTAATATAATTAACAACATAAAGTTAATATGAAGAATTATAAATTATTAATATAGTTAATGTAATAATTATAACTCAAGCTGCCCATTGTATCGTTTCTTTAGCCATAATAAGAAAGCTGAAAAGTGGCAGCTCTAGAGTCACATAACATATATGTAATGTACCCATACATATTCTGAAGTGAATAAATAGATCAGTTATCAAATAAATATAAATCTTATATTGCCCTCATTTTTTCTCTTCGTCACAAGCAAATATCTTTTGTAGATTCATCCATGTTCCATTGGTTTCAGATGGAATGCCAACAGAGCAGTCCAAGAAAGGTTTTCTTCTGAATTTGTTGGTTTTGATCAGGTGCCAGTGGCTATGAGTCAGTGTTTGGTTCAGGACCAGAGAGGATTGCCTGTCCTACGTACTAAGAATATTCTACTGTTTGATGATAATGGTTGAGAAGATACTTGGTGGAGTAAGTGGATGGAATAAAGCTGTAGGTTCTGTTTGCCGTCAAATGCAAGGGGCTGTGGTTGTTTTTGTTGCAGTCTTATTGGCTGGGAATTCTGAAGGTGAGGAATGGCTCACTTTTGAGGAGGAAGGGTTACAAAGGTGCATTGCCTTTGTAATGGCCTTACTTTTTGGATAGAAAGTTTGTTTCCTTGGAGTAATTTCATACTTTCTTGGGGATTTTGAAGGATTAAAGCCTTCAAATATTTTTTTGAAAATATCATTGTTTGATTCTTGTAAATGTTAGCTTCTTGTAATTCAGGATTTCAATCAATAAAATTTGTGTTTTTGTTAAAAAAAAGAAAAAGATGTTCCATTGATTTCAGTTGTAATATTAGTTTGCATTCTTGTTTGTTTTTTAAATGCATAATTTTAGTTTTGCATAGATGTTCTCCAGAGGTGGCATTTGAGGTCATTGAAGCAGAGACGCAGTCCTATCTTTTATAGGAAGTAGAGCCAAGTATTTGGATAGTGATGATGTGATGACTTCTGAGTTAACTATATCACTTCATGTTTGTAGGCTGAGTTACAAACGTTGTTAATCATACTTATATTATTTGGTTGTAACATTTTTCTTTTAGTATATGTGAATTGATTATTGTCTTCAGATGATGACTTGTGCCCCCAACAGATCAAATGGATCAACAAAAAAGTTATCTTTTAGGTATGGCAGTAAAAGCTATTAGCCAAAATTTTCTTATTATGGGTTGAGCTAAGTGTTCATTTGATAAGAGTAACTCTAAGCACTCTTAGTTACGATTAAGCAATGGCTTTTGGTTTCGGCATTGATTTACATCCATGTATTTGCCTGAAAATTTATGACTAATCTATACTATATATTATATATTATACTCTACCACTAATAAAAGTTAGGGTAAAGTGAAAAACTTTTGATTTTCAAATTTATCCTTCAACAATTTTAAAAAGTAAAATTTGTAATGTAGTAAATTTATAGTTATGAATACTACGTAAACTAAAGGTTACATGACATTTAACGAATAGTGTAATTGGGTATGTTACATTTCTGGTGTAAAGAAAAATTTATTGTGTTGATTGACGTCTTGGCCTTTTTCTTTTTCTTCTTTCAAACTGTTTCACGTATTCTTTGGTTCATTTTGCCTTTGTTTTATATTCGAAGTCAAGACTTTCTAATTTCTTTTTACATCTCATGGAATACTAACACCTATTATGTCCCTCTTTATACAATATATAAATGTTGCCTCAGTTCTAATGGTGTGGTTTGTTGGACTTATTATATTGTTTATTAGTTCATATCCTTAAAATCTTCTATTTGCGTGACGTGTAATATCTTTAGGAATCTATTATTCTTTATTTAGTTTTCCAAATAGAGTGCTCTAATAGAAACATAATAACATGAGAATTGAATATTCGAAAATCTCGGACATTGTCTAATACTTTTTTAGTCGTGCCCATAATTAGAAGAGAAAATCTCAATTTCAAATAGTGTCCAACACTCCATGTGTAACCCACCCAACAATTCTACATTAGGTCGTATCTACGGCTAAAAATTTATATATGTCAACATACAATTAAAAAAATTTGAAAACTTGACAAATGATTTCCTTGTGATATGCAAATACATATAATTGTTGAGACTAATAATATTGTTGTTTTACTTAAATTTTCTATTAATTAAAACCCATAAATGCATAAAAGCTTTACGTAATAATTGGATTTGGTATTTACCCACAAGAAATAAAAGGACTTGGTAAGGTGAGAGACACCAATAATTATAGAATTCTATCATGCATGATTAAGATTTCTCTTTTTACCACAAACAAAAGATTTTGAGAAATTCTTATTCAAATATCGACAATAGTATTAAACTTATATATTGCTCAACAATACCAGGAAGAACTTGAGAAGAGGGATGTTTGTAATTGATGATGTAAGTGATGAATATGATAATTTTGCCAAGGATGATAATAAATCCAGCTAAAGGACAAGATCTATTTATGGGATGAGCTTTGGTTACTCCTTTTTTTTGACCAAGAAGAGCCAAGGAACAAATTGGGGTGGATTGATAGAATTTTGAAAATAGTTACATCAACAATCCACTACATTATACATGCATGCATCAGTTGTTGTCTCTCTTGATTTTTTATTTATACAATAATTTGTGAGGCATGTCAGGTTCATCACATACAATACAAGTTTATATGTCGTATGTATATAATACATCTTTTAAAATTCTTGATTTTTGTTTGCTTTTGAAGCCTAATAACTATAAGACCAAAATTTCACCAAAGGTAGTGGTGATCCTAGTAAAATTCAACAAAAGGTGAATCTTGATAAATGAACATCATAACTAAAGTCTAAAGGAAAATGATGATTTTTTGGAGGTACTATAAATATGATGGCTTTTGGCATAAATGGTATATAATTTGAATATTTACTATCTCAAAATTAAAATGGTTCACGTGCTACGCATTTGTGCAACTATAAGTATATATATATATATCACCAAAAGAATCCAGAATAAATCTTCAATGCAATCATTAGACTTGGACTCTATTTAATATTAGAATTCACAATTAATTCAATTGATCGTAATTAAGTCCTTAATATGAACAAATTTATTTTACTCCGTGACATACCCTTGTAGCAATTCATAAATATAGCCACAAAAATAACCTTAATAAATAATACCCCATCAGTTTATTTATAAATAAGAAAAACAGACCCAAACCCCCCACCGTCCTAACTCTGGCAGAACCCACAAGAACTCTTGGTTCTGCCGGAACCAGTTCGCCAGAATTTTACGGCCGGCCAGTTTGTTTCCGCCGGCAAACAGATTCTTGTGGCCATTTTCGCATTTCGATCATCTCAATTTTGTAGTGAAAACATGCATGCTAAGATAAGTGATTGTCAATTGGAACGAACTATGAGCTTGAACAAAATTATCGTGATATTTATTTACCTGTGTTCTTCTTGGGTCCAAGGAGTTCCTTTCTTCCTCTCCACCTTCCCCGACGATCCAGACGCTATCTGACTCGGGCTCGACTCAGTCTCGCACCCACAGGACACATCCCAGTTACTCGGGAACTCGACCAGGTCCGATTCAATCGCCAAAACATCATGAACCAAATCCTCGTAGTGTACCATTATGTCCGCGGCTGACTTTCCTGGCACTCGATCAGCGATCAGTTGCCACCGGTCGGCGATTCCCTCGGGGTACATCACCAGAGCCTCCTCGAAGAGCTTGTCCTCCATTCTCGTCCAAGTGACCGCAGGAGCTTTTCCGATCACCCACTGATCATTGTTATTTCCGTTTTGAAACTCCATCGTAAAAGAATCGGTTCTATTGAATCTGTTCTTACTTTTCTATTTTCTATGTTTCTCTCTGGAGCTTTTCTTGGAGGGTTTGGTAAGGGGTTTATTGGTATGACTTATACATGACCTGGGTTCTGCGGAAATTTAGAGAGAGATTACAGATTGTAGGTAGTTTCTGTTAGGCGAAAGCTTTATTTAGAGTTAAATTACATCAGGTCTTTATTTTTATTGGCGCCAAAAGTTTTGGCAGTTGGCACATATAAGAAGTAATGTTATTTCCACTTAAAAATCTAAATTTTTTAAATTGATTAAGGGTTTTATTAAATATTAAAACTTATTTTTTAACTAATAATTTCAATAAAATTACATAATCAAATGAGATTTTTAGATCTTTAAAAAGTACACTAAAAATATTATATACTATTTTTTATGCAATATATTCCTCCAATTTTTAAGGATGATTTACTCTAAATAAGCCTATAAATATTAAAGAAAGTTGCACTTATTAATTACTAGCAATCACGTAAAAATATTTAAATAGTAACTTTTCTATAAAAAATTTTAAATTATGTTGATAAATCAATTGATAATAAATTATGTGGGTATAATTAACTTTATAATAATAATTAGAGATAAAATAGAAAATCAATTTTTTTTTTACATATGTTGACATTTATAAGTAACTAGCAATGCACGATATGTGTTGCACGAAAATAAATTTAAATAATAATTTTTATAAAAAATGTGAATTATATATGTAATTAAATTAAATAATAAATTTGATGTCAAATAATTAATCCGTATTTTAATTATTATTAAATTTAATTATTAGTTATATTATAAGTCTTTGAGTACTTATTTTTTTTTTGAGTACTTAATCAGTCATTTGTTTTAGGCATTTGCAGATCTAATTACATTATAGAGAGAGTTCAAAATAATTTAGAAGTCTTTATAAAAAAGTCAAAAAACAAGTTAAAATTCAAATAAGAGCAAAAAACAAAAATAAGATGAAAGTATATAGGTAGATATAATTGACTTTATCATAATAAATAAGGATAAAATAGGAATTTTATTATAATTACAATATGAATTTATTGCATTTTTTTTGTTAAAGAGATTAATTAAATTGTGATGCTATTGTTTATATTATAATATTATTTGAAAACTTCAAAATTAAATATGACATATATTTGAAATAGTCATAACCCGTGTCTGAAGGCACGATAAAATATAAAATTCGAGCGTCCAAAAAATCAATTCCATTATATTAAATTTTTTAAAAATATTTTAATTACAAATTAATTAAATATTAAATAATTAAATATATGATAAAAATGAGTGATGTGACATTTTTAAAGAGGAAATATATAAATAATTAAATATGTGATAAAAATGAGTGATGTGATTTGACGTTTGAGTCTGACAAATAAATGATGAGTGAGGAAAGTGATTGATGATAGTTTTGAGGGAGAAAATATAACTGAGATAAAATTTAAATACACTCTTATTTTATTAAATAAATATATATTGTATTTTACTTCGTCACATAAACATATAAACAAAGATATATGAAATTATATGTAAGTGTATTACTAATAAATGAGTTCAAAACAATTTAGAAGTCAACTACTACTAAAAAATAACTCAAAATAAGTTGAAAGTTAAATAGGTATACAAAATAAAAATTAGATAAAAGTAAATAGGTGAGTATAATTAACTTTAGCATAACAATTAGAGATAAAATAAAAAATCAAAAGTTTTACATATGTTAACATTTATAAGTAACTACTAGCAATGCACGATGTGCGTTGCACGTAAATAAATTTAAATAATAATTTTTATTAAAAATGTGAATTATATATGTAATTAAATTAAATAATAAATTTGATGTCGAATAATTAATCTGTATTTTAATTATTATTAAATTTAATTATTAATTTATTTTATAAGTCTTTGAATACTTTTTTTTTTTTTTTAGTACTTAATTTGCCATTTGTTTTAAGCATTTGCATAGAGAGTTCAAAATAATTTAGAAGTCTTAATAAAAAAGTCAAAAACAAGTTAAAATTCAAATAAGAGCAAAAAATCAAAAATAAGATGAAAGTATATAGGCGAATATAATTGATTTTATTATAATAATTAAGGACAAAATATGAAATCAAAAAATTTTCGTAGATGTAGACATTTATAAGTAGTATATAGATATAGATAGATTATAACAAAAAAAAAAAAAACTCTACAGTTTGAAACCCAGCTTTTCGTGGATACCTTTGAAATACTTTGGATCTGAAATAAAATTTCAAATATTACATTTTAGACACATTGATTCAAAAGTCTTAAATCCAATTTAAAATTCAAAAATTTGAGAAATTGTATAAAATCAATTTAACAAAGAATTGTCTAACTTACAGAGAAACTCAACATTATACTGAATTCACTTTTTGCGTATAGAAATCACGATGAGGTCCGTCCATTATTGCAAATTGTATATCAACAAATAGGATTTGACCCTTCTCAATTCATCCCCAATCAAGAGTGTAGGAAAATCCACCAGTTCACCATACTGGCAATAATTGGAAGCTAGAGGAGATCAATCAGTGGCTAGACGTTGCTATGAGACAAGAAATTAGTTTATTTTTTGCCGAGTTAACGAATACCCCAGACCAATTGGAGTGGCAATTGACGGAGTCAGATTTGTTTACAGTTAAATCTGCATGGAATTTGATAAGAGACAGAGGCCCAAATAGTGTTATTTCCTCTGCTATTTGGAAACAAAATGTTCCTTCTAGTGCTTTACTGGTGGGGTGGAAGGTGTTTAAGCATGCCTTACCTATGGATGAAAGTTTTCAGAAGATTGGTGTTTCTTTGGCCAGTAGATGTCCATTGTGCTGCATGGGGGAGGAGTCTTATTTACATATGTTCATTGAGTGTGCATTTGCAAGGGAGTTGTGGAACAGGTTTCAGAATGAGTCACCTATGATGAGATTTTTCAGATTAACCAGGGTCTTTTCTAAGAACTCATATAGTCACTCATTAGTTAGAGGCGTATCTCTTCTGATCTACTGGCAGCTATGGAGGGAAAGATGTAGGATGCTTTTTGAGGATGCTAAGTTACATTCTTCACGCCTGGTATCTATTATTCTTCACTACCTAAAATTACAAGGGTATGTAGTGAAACTAAGTGCTGCTGATTCACTCAAAGGTAAATTACTGCTTTCTGAGCTACAGGTTCCAATCCACACAACTCTTCTGTATACAGCTTTATGGATTAAGTGGGAGCTGCCTCCAGAGGGTTTTCTTAAAGCCAACACAGATGGAGCTTCTCATGGCAATCCTGGAGAAGCTGGGGGAGGGGTTGTTCTGCGTAATCAATGGGGACAGTTGGTAGTTGCGCTTGATGGTTTGACTCTGTTGGAGGACTATGGCTTGTCAGCTTATCCATTTATCATTGAATCAGATTCTCTAGTCTTATTGGATATGATTTCTGGTAAATTAAGCATTCCATCGAGACTCGGGATTGATTGCTCGAATTTCTAAGAAGTTGAGTAATATGTCTTCTACATTAGTTCACACTTACAGAGAAGGAAATATGGTGGTTGATTGTTTAGCCAGGAAAGGGGTTATAGATAAGGCGGATCTTCGGATTGATTCACCTAATTCTTTACTAGCCCAAGCAAGATTTTTGGTTTTACAGGATCAGATGCAAATTAAAACAGCAAGAAAGAAGAGGTTCTGGGTTCATTCCCCACATAACCAAGGGATGGTCAGGCGTTAAACAAATATGTTTTTAAAAAAGCATGGACAGAATTGCTTTGCAGATAAAGGTATTCAAGAGAAATAATTGGAGAATATTGCTGTTAGACTACACAGAAGATAGGAGTACATACCTTGTGCTTCTAGAGCTGCACAATAAACTTTGTGATTATCTCTAGGCATCCTTAGAATGTTGGAATTCTCTTCAGCTTCCAGATTCAGTCTATCTCAGTAGGACTTTGCAACTGATTGGTACACAATGGCTGTCTCGAATTTCTGGAATCTCAATCGTCATTTTCAGGAACTTTATGGCTGGATCCTCATCTTCTTCGACTCAGGAAATTCATTCTCTCAACGACTATAGGTATTGGCTGTTCATGCTTCTCTCTGGTTTCTTTAACAAAGCCTCTTGGTTTCTCTTCGTCTCTGCAGCGGTATTACAGACAAAGCTTAAATAGGGATCTTCTTGCTGGAGATTTATTTTCTGGATACTCATCACACCATCAGTGGGGAGAATCTCTTCTCATGGACTTCTCTGGCTCTGTTCAGTGGTTTCACTAGCCATGTCCATTGGTTTTCTCGGGAGGCTCTATCGTGGTTTTTTCTGTGGACTCCTCTTTATTTGGATCTGGGCTTTAATGGCGATTTGCTGCTGGATGTTGCCTACCTATCTGATCAGAACGCTTTACTTCTATGAGGGGATCTTGCTGGATATTCATCTTCTCCAGTTTCCAGTCGACTTCTTCATTGGATTTCTCTGTAATAAGTTGCACTGTGCTGGATATTCACCTTCAACTGTTCTAAGAAGGAGAGAACATGGCAGAGAGCTGGACAGACTTTTTTGTGGTTCGGAGATTTTCTCTGATCTTTGTTCTGAGACTGGTCATCTGCCTAACAGTGGGATTATCAATCTGCCCACTTCTCGGGCGTCTTATCAGCGACCTTCTCAGACCAATAACATAATCTTATCAGCTGTCTTCTCAGCAGACTTATCAGATTTAATGCCTTATCAGATCAGTGGCCTCTCAATTGCCCTTATCAGATCAGTGTCTCCTCATCTGGCCTTATCTGATAAACTTTATCTCTAGCATAAATGCTTTTAGTCAGTTTACTATTGCTCGTAGCCCGTGCTCCCAGCTCAGGTTGCAAATACTCTCGGCTCATTCTAGCCTCAGATGCCGCCACTCTCAGCCTAGGCTCACAGCTCATCCATTCTCTCTCGTTGCTAGTCTCTCAGCTCACGTTAAATGCTGTCTTTTTTGGCAGCCAATATTAACTTTAGGTAGCATGTTTAGTATATTTTTTATTTCATTATTATTTGTACTACACATTCATTTTGCCATTTATTACTTTTATTTCATTTTCATTTATGTATCTAGATTGCATCGAGGGTAAGATACATACATCTCCCTTGATTAAGTGTAATTTAATCTTTAATCAATAAAATTCTTTCGCACCGTTGAAATTCCCTAAAAAAAAAAGTGTGATTTGAACTTTTTCTTAAACAAATGATATGTTTATACAATAAATGCATAGATCACAAATGCAAAATGATATTCAACAAGGATTTTGTTTTCCATTTATAGTGAACAGATACTAAATTGTGGATCATGTTGTCGTAACTTATAATTTAATAGACACTAGCATTTTCTTTTCTTGATGATCAAGAACGTTTGAGAAAATAAACTTTTAATACCCATAAAAAAATATGAAAATGGATATAAAGAAACAATCCGTTTCCCTTTCACCAGGGATAAGATTAAAAAAAAAAAAAAATTTTGGTACTGTACCACCAAATTTTATAAATTTTGTGGGTTGAGATACAAGATTTTAGTTATGTTTATATAAAAAAAAAATAATAACTTTTGAAATCATTTTACAACTATTATGATTCAATTTACAATTTTTTGAGTTGTTTGCGTTCAGGAGCGGAGCCATAAAATCTTCTTGGGTTGCGACTTTTTTTCTTCTAATCAATAAAATTAAATTGATACTTGTATTATTTACATCATATTTAATACTTAAAATTCACTAAACATAAAAGAATAAAAAACCCTTATAAATAGTTTCTAATGTAAAAAACAGTAAAAAAGAAAAAAAATTGTGATTATCATGGTCTAAACTTACTAGTATAAATGAAAGTTTTTTTTTTTTCACTGAAGCAGAACAACAAAAAGTTCAAATCATTCCATATATAAAACATACTGCCCAATAACTTCTGATGAGTTGTGTCGAAACGTACAATTGCCCTGAAACCAACACAATGAAACAAAAAATTATCAAAATAAAAGTTTTTAAACAAAATTTGCATGAAAAAAAAAACATAGATCAACTATAAAAATTTAATCCACCAAAATTGAAAAATATTCAGGTGCATAATAGAAATAAAGACCCCGATGATAAAACCTTTCATAAGCATCTCACAAAAACTATTTGATTTGCACCAAATAATATCAAGGTGATATACTCAAACATGATTTTAAACTTTATAAGAAGTTCAATAAAGGCAGAGCATTATTGTTTTAGAAAATCATTACATCATACAAAAACCTATCCTTTATATGATAGATTTTCAAAAACTTTAACAGTTAGAAAATTAACAAAACACAAAGAATTATCTTAGTGGCAAAGAAAACTCCCAATTTTGACCGGAATAAAAGCAAATGACTCTTGTTCTAGCCATTATTTTTTAGGACTATCTTTTTTTTATCAGTTTCGACATTATCAAAGATGTAACAGAACATCAAAGCTCTAATTTAACCTCAATCAGACCAAAAAAATCATAAATCAAACAATTATAAGAGCACAATTAAACTACATGGATGTACCTTGCAAACTTGAGAAAATTAATTGTGAGAGAGTGGCCCTGTTTTTTTGCTAGTGAGGAGTTTTGGAATGATTGAGAATAGATAGGGATAGAATTGAGAATGGTTTTATCAAGGTTGTATGGCCAATGCATCAACCGTATGCCCCAAAACATTAGCTTCTACAAGGAAAGAAAAAACATCAAGAATCCTGACCAGAACACCCAAAAATTATCATTGCAGGAACGGAAAAGTATTGAACCCAAATAACAATAATCACAAAATTGTCAATACCCCACATGTACATCATTTCAGGCAACCAAAGAGAGATGTCGAAGGTGGAGAAAAAACATTAACAAAATTAAATCAAAAAGTAAAAAAAAATAGATGGTGGTTTGGAGATCTTGAACTCTATCACACATTTCAGCAAACATTTCATGTGCATGTTGATTGGGGCAGTGATAGTGACCTAGGAGAAGAGAAAGTTAATGAATGGGAGGTGGGTATGGCATTGTGTGTTGTCTCTGTGTGTGTGCGTGTGTTGTGTGTTGCGTGTGTGTGTGCATCAGAGAGATGAAGGGAGATGAGAAAGATAGAGATAAAAAGAGAGGGAGTTAGAACCTGGATAGTGGATGTGTTGTTGGCATTGGCTTTGGTGGTGTTGATGATGGGTTGCTTCATGGTGTCGCTAGATAGAGAAATAGGCAAGAAGGAGAGGGAAACCAAAGGGAGAGAAAGAGTGTATGTGATATGAACAGTAAAATTGGAGAGTAGCTGCATTAAAATAGAATTTTGGGGAGACATGTGTCTCAGTTTGGAAAGAGAATCATGAAAGATGAGAGTGTGAGAGACAGTCAATGTCTCAGTATAGAAAGTGATCCCTTAACATAAGCAACAAAATCAGAGAAATAATGATAAGAGTTATAATCTTTATTTTAGGGAGAGAGAGACAGAGTTAAGGAATGAGAGATCACTTAATTGTCAGATTTGATTGGGTAGGAGAATTAAATTTAGGGATGTTAGTTTTGGAAACTAAAAGTTTTGAGCGGCAAAAATTTTTCAAGATCTAATGTGATACGTCAGATCGAAATAATTTACGAAGTCAATAGCTTGAGACAGTTCGAAATATTGTTGGCTGATGTCTTTTTTGATCTCAAAACGATCTGAACCCCTCTTTGTCTCTTGAATTTAAAATTGTTCTTTTTTATTATATAGATTTTAAACTTATTTATCAAATTATAGTCATGTTTGAAACAATGCAAACTCGTGCTTTAAAATATTCTTTTAAAGTTGAAAAGTATTTTGCATTGAAAAATGTTATGGCCTTACGGGTGCTTTGTATTCCATTCCTAGTTGAAAATTGATTTAAACTTTGTTCTTCTTAGGGATTTGGAAAGGTGGATGTGTTGAAATTCCACTTCAAGTAAAAGATCAATTAGAAACTCGATTGTATTAGGAGACAAAATATTTTGAATCTATAAATAAACCACTCAATTTTTTTTTCGGGGATTTTGACCCTCAGATTTGGGCATCTATGTTTTGTTCTATTCTCTATGTTATAGAATTGTGTAATCTTCCTTTGTTAATAGTGAAACTTTGCTACTGCGCTTTGCCCGTAGAGTATGCTATTAAGCTGATCCACATATATTTGTAATTTATATTTTTCTATTTCATTCGTTTATTTGTATGTAACAAACTGGTATTAGTAATTACCCAAAAAAAAAAAATTGATATCAGAGCTTTGCTTATGGGTAGAACTATAACAAAATTCGATGTATAAAAATTTGATGTTCAAAGCAGTTTCACTCACGATATACTCAACATGGAATGATTTGGCAAAAACTCTTGATGAGATATTGTGATCGCCGCTGATGAAGATTCAATAGGTTTACTATTATGAAGAAGATAGCTGAAAAGTTCACTTTTGGTTTAATGGCTTAGTGGGCACACAAGTCATGGTAGAGATTTGTTATGGATGCCTTTGATATTTGTGTCATTTCTTTACGGGAATTGTGGAGAAGGCAACTAATTCTTTTGCTTTTGTTTTGATGACTTGAGGTGGATATTTTTTGTGAGTGTCTTGTATTCCACTTCTAGTAGGACACTGGTTTGAATTTTGTTTTTTTTAGAGATTTCGAAAGGTGGATGACTTGAAATTCCATTTCAAGTAAAAAACCAATTAGAAACCCTGTTATATTAGAAGACAAAGTATTTTTGGTCTATACATAGATTATAGAACACTCAGTTTATTTTGGGTTTTTGGCCCCAGATTTTGGCCCCCAGTTTTGTCCATCCATATTTGATTCTATTCTCCGGATTAAAGAATTTTGAATAATCTCTTTTGTTAATAGTGAAACTTTGCTACATCACTTTGCCCGTGGGAGTAGGCTTTAAAGTCGATCCACATAAATTTGTGTTTTGCATTTTTCTATTTCGTTTCAATTATTTGTTTGTGACTTTTGTTTATAACAAAAAATGTTCAAGGCTTAATAAAATTGTACCAAATTTTAATTGATGTCGGTTCTATGTTGATGAATGAACAAAATTTATTGAATTTGGATTTCAAAAGGTTTAATCCTAATTTTATTGGAAAAGTTATTCAAGTGGACGGATTTTTTTTTTAAAAAAAAAAAAAAATCTATCCTGACGTTTATAAGAAATCTGGCAATTTTTTTTGATGGCCTAATTTACGCCATGGTAAGTGTCGGTATAGATTAGCCAGCGTTTAATTAAATGTCGTGAAATTTACTTACGTCGACAAAGTCGATGTTTAATTAAAACATTGTTGTTAAACTAATATGCCAGCGTTTACAAACTCTAGGAATTTCTTAGATTTTGGTACTGGTTTGTACTGATATTGTCAACTTCTCTTATAGTAGATTAAATCATGCCTTTTGTAAAGAAATTTATAATTGGAGAGATATAAAATAAATAATAAAACACAAAGAATTAACGTGGTTTGGCACAACAAGCGTACTTACATCGACAAGCATATTATTTCTCAGTAACTATATCCAAGGTACTTAACCCTATCTTAGGATATGAGTAAGTATATTAGATAAATATGAGACAAAACATTAATCCTTATTTCCTAGGATATTGATAGATTTCATATATATTTTGAAGATAAAAGTAACAATCTCTTAGGCTCATCATCTATACTTATCCAGACTAAATAGTGATAGATCTCTTTGGATTCTATCACTATCTCTATCATTGTGGACTTAGGCAAGGTTTGTTTTCCTGAACCACACAAATCTCTTTCATTAGCGGTACCCCATGCA